GAGGTTGAGTTGTATTTTCTCATGACAGCATCACATTCTGCGGTGAATCTTTTTTCTGCATCAGATGCTTTGTTGGGGCTGAAAAAGCCTATCTTTTTAAATCATGGATCAAGTAGTGTTGTGAGTGACATGATGCTCATAGATTGAAATGTGTTGAGCTTCTCTCTTAACTATCTTCTCAGATTTTCAGCCATTGCAGTTGTATCTGGAGTTTGAAGAGGTCCCAGTTGCTGCTGTTCCAATGCATGGTGTAACATTGCTAAAAGTGGAATGACCTATGATCCAGATAACCTTTTCTCCTCTGACAGCTACACTGTGGCATCATTCAAATGGGCTAGTACCTTCAGACTTTCAACAACAATCGAGTACTCCTGTGAGGAAATTGGAGTCATGTCAGTGCGCAGGTCTGCCAAAGCTGCTCCAACTGGTTCCCTCAGGTCATAAATTCGTTGAAGCATTAAAAAGGTGCTGTTCCATCTCGTCTCAACTTCTTCCGTTTGAGTGGAAATTTTGACATTCAGTTCAAGGGGAAGTCAACGAAAAAAATGCGTTCTCTGCGGCCACGCTAGTCTTAACACGGTAGACTGATTAATATTACATACAGTGGTACCTCTATTTACGAACGTCTCTTCATTAGAAATTTTCAAGTTACGAAATGCCTCAACAGGAAAATATTGCCTTGTTATGAAGGAAATTTCAAGATACGAAAGCTAAAAATACAGCATGGGCTGCTGCTCACAGCTCCGGGTTTCCTGAACGCATCATACTTCTAGCTGCTCTGCCATTGTCTATTACCTATCATCTTCCTGCCATCCCATTGGCAAAAAGGGACCTCTACCGTTTGTGTCTGTGTGTCGATAGATAGATATGTGTCTATGCAGCATCTTCATCATTCGCCCCTCGGGCCATGACGCGTTCTGATAGTTTTACGTAAATGAGAATCTCCCAGAAAAAAAGTGTTCACCAGTCGGGCGATCGCTCACTATGCTGATGTTTGCCTTGGACATTTTTGAAGGATTATTAAAAGCCAACAAAAGCAAACGTCCTCGGATCAGTTCTTTACAAAATGCCAGGCAAAAACCACTTCTGAGATAGAACATGGACTAAAGAGGGCAAAAAAACGATGAGGACCTAGTTAAGTTAAATGACCATCATTTTTTATTCTTTACTCTGTTCTTTGTTTTTTTTTTTTAAATTTTTTATTCTTTACTCTGTTCTTTTTTTTTTTTTTACATGATGCACAACTATCATTTATTGTGCAATAATCTAATTGTTACATGAATTTGTTACATAATTTGATGCATTTTTATGCTTTAGGAAACATTTATGTCTGAATTTTGGGGGGGAGGGGGCTTGGAACGAATTAGAGCAGATGTAGGGAACCCCGGTTCCTCGAGAGCCATATGTGGTCAGCTCATCAGCAAGCTGTGTCGAGGCCTGAACAATTGAATCAGGTGTGTTGGAGTAGGGAAGGACCGAAAACAGGCAGGATATGGCTCTCGAGGAACCGGAGTTCCCTACCCCTGAATTAGGGCATTAACGTGAAAAACGTGTCTCTACTTTCAAAATATTTCTCGTTAAGAAATTTCTTAGAGAACCAATTAATTTCGTAAGTAGATGTACCACTTTATTGATCAAAGAGTTTTGGGAGCCATTTTAGAACTGGATATCTGAGAAGGATCTGGAGCCACCCCAACTGGATATGGGATGGTGTAACAAAAACAGGAAATGTTGTCCCCCACTTATATAATTATAATAATCTCAAAACAATTTATTTATACATTCAGATTTATGAAGTGTGTCCATTGTTTTTGGTTTTTGGTTGTACATTGAAGAAACTTATAAAGGAAACAGATGATAAATAATAATAATAAATAGAATGATGGTTTTATTTTCTGAATCGACCTCTCTTTTTTGTAAGATATGCACAGTTCAGTGCATGATGCTTGGGTGCTCAGTTTGTAATTATCATGTTTTTTCAAAAAAAAAAAAAAAGAAAGAAAGATTAAATGCTGGTTTTGATTACTAAAGCCAACAAAAAAAAATTCCATCCTTGTAATGATTATCTGAGAAAAAATTTAGAGCAAATTTACTGTGTTTTGTCCTGATGATCGAGACCTTAGAACAGATTTTTTTTTTTGTACACATACCAAAGTATTGGCTGTTTGCTCGGTTTTGTATTTTTATTGAGAAGTGTTTTGTTGAATTATGCTGGATATTGATGAATAAAACAACATACTTTGTATGGCACTTGCAGCAAAAGACTTGGAAAAAAAGACACACCGTATTTCCCGGAAAATAAGTCGCTCCTGAGTATAATTATCCCATGTGCTGCAGTCGATGTAAATACGTTTATACAACGCAACATAAAATTTTACAAAAATTGTAAAAGTATTATTCCTGAATATTTATTTCACTTTCAACCACTCGACATGTTCAGTGGCATCAGTGCTATACATACACATATAGTTCTTATTGAGCAAATTTACTGTGTTTTGTCCTGATGATCGAGACCTTAGAACAGATTTTTTTTTTTTGTACACATACCAAAATATTGGCTGTTTGCTCGGTTTTGTATTTTTATTGAGAAGTGTTTTGTTTAATTATGCTGGATATTGATGAGTAAAACAACATACTTTGTATGGCACTTGCAGCAAAAGACACACCGTATTTTCCGGAATATAAGTCGCTCCTGAGTATAAGTCGCACCAGCCATAAAATGCATAATAAAGAAGAAAAAACATGTATGCGCACTGTGGGGGAAAAATTGATTTGATAAAATCCAACACCAAGAACAGACATGTCATCTTGAAAGGCAAATAAAAATAAAAATAGAGAACAACAGTCTGAATAAGTGTACAATATGCTAATGTTACATGACACATAAACAACGAACTGAGAGCGTGCCTGGTAAGTTCACGTAACATATTAAGAGTTATTCAGATAACAAGAGCATAAAGAACATGCTCACACATTTACCAAAGACATAATGGCAATATAAACTTACTATTCCCATCTGTGTAAATTGATTTCAGTATGTTGATAATTTTATTTTGGGTGTACATTCTGGGATAATTATCAAGTTCAAGGCAACTTTATTGTCAAATGTGCTCTATGTGCAACATACAGCACAGATGAAATTTCTTTCTTCTCAACCACAGGAGAGAGAAGAGCCGTTGTGGGTGCCCGCGCCGCCATCAACAAAACAGTTAACATTAAATGATAAAAAATAATACAACATAACACATAAGACACAGACGGTCATGCAATCTTTTTCTACACTTTGTTGTTTGAAGCAGTTATAGATGAAAGAATCATGCAATCTTTTTCTACATAATTGTTGTTTGAAGCAGTTATAGATGAAAGAGGATCAAATATCAGTTCCAATATTTATATAAAAAAAATACATCGTTGTGGACGCAAATATTAATCAAAGCCCACATGTGAGTTGAAACATTGAACATCATACCCCACATTACATAGCTAACGATCCTCATTCCAAGTTAACTTTACCATCTATGTTTGCAAATTTCACATTTTCCCTTTAAAACATCAAAAGCATTAATAAAACAATCACAAATTAAAAAAAAAACAAAAAAAAAAACTTAAAAGTCAAACAGTAATATTGAAAACAAACCTTTTACTTTCAAATAAAGTAACTTGGCTTTTGGCTCACTCTTCCGCTGGAGGCGCTGACGGTGTAGCCGAGGTTTTAAATTGGAGAAAAACATTGTTAGGTTTATGGTGGTAATCTGACGCTAAGAATACATCAGGAACAGGAAGCCTCAGGAGGCAGGCATGGTTGTCTTTCTTGCAAGAGAGAGTGCACTAAAACATGTCTCGGTTCACAATCTCGGAGCAGCTCAGCTGGCTCTGCCATGTAAACTGTTACAGGTTCCAGGGCAACTCTGAAGAGATCGCTATTGTCTCCTTGCATTTATTGGAAGGATGTCCCTGATACACAATCTTCTAATGGGTGTGGGGGAGTGTTCACATGTTTCAGAACAACAACAAGTCCTCCAAATGGGCATAGAATCAGAATACACAATTCCTGAGGTGGTCACATGGCTCCTGCTGGAGGTCAGGTGGTCCGCGAACACAGCTGTGAATGTCCCTCACATTGTGTTCTGGAGTTGATGTGATCTTCTCACAAGCAACAGTTAATTTGATCAGAAGCCGTTAACAAAAGGATGTTAAATTAAAAGCGAAGAGTGGGACCCTTTTGGTCACACCTCAATTGTCAAAAAAGTAAATAAAATTACATGGCCTAAGTGTGTTTTTTTTTTTTTTTTTTTTAAATTGTACAACGTACTATCAGGACAGTCACACGGTGACCACTGAGTGAACTAAATTTCCCTGTAGTACTGATTGGACAAGTAATGTAATGTGATCACCTGCAGCCAATGATGGCCAAGCGGGCGTGTCATACCTAATTGACATCTTGAGTCGGGTGTGTCTGAACCTCTACGGCAGAGGCTCTGTCGAACCCCTGAGACCGATTCACCGAACCCCTAGGGTTCGCTCGAACCCAGGTTAAGAACCACTGGCTTAGAGTCCACCTGTGGTAAATATACTTGGACATGATTTGACCTCTCTCTAAAAGGTCTCACGTGTGATTGTGTATATCAGAGCACAAACTTTTACTCCAATTCTGGCAAAAAAGTTTTTGAAGAAACTTTTTTTTTTTTTTTACTCTGAAACTGTACGGAAGAGGATTAGGGCCATAAAAGTGAGAATCTTGCCAACCTTGTTTTTTTTTTTCTTCATTGGCCCTAATCCTCTTCCGTAGAAACTGAAAATTAACAAAAAAAAAAAAATGGAGTAGAAATGTCATGAGCATCCATACGCCAATATGTCCTCTGTCCTTCACTGTCCTGTAATCATGTTACATTTGTCCTTGTCTAAAAACATAAACCGATTTTACTGTGTTTTTTTTAATCATCATGTCTTTTGCTTCCTCCACCTAAAGTGGGGCTCATTCAAATGTGTTGTCTTTCCAGGTGGCGAGCGTAGTTGCGGAGTACATGAGTTGATCTGCGTCAGAAAAGGTAGGGCAATGTGGTCCATCTTAAAGCCAAAACTGCACCTCCATACTGCCTTCTCCATCATTATCATGTGTCATTTTTGGTTGTATCTGACAGTGAACACGTTATATTCTATCATATTGATCATCCGTTTCCTCCTTGTGGTGTTTTCTTGTGCCATGTTTTGCTTGTCTTTGTGCTAAATGTGTTGCTTGTCTTTCTAAAGATCACGATAGGACAATGTGCAGAATGCAACAATGGCTTGATATTCCTGGTTATTTGCAAAATAAAATCAATCGTTTGATCAATTTTCTTCCTTCCTTGTGTATAGTTAATCACGAATTACATGTAAGATGAAAAATGGGTGAACGCAAACAAAATCCTGCTCCCTTTTAAAATGTAGCCAAATTAATGAGTGCGCCAACTAATATGCAGTTTAATGGTTCAATCTTAACATTTTTAATCCAAGATTATGATATCCCTTGTTAGTGTTCTAAATGTTCTAAAAAAGAAAGAAAAAAAGCTGAAGCCCTTTGGGGGCATCCATAATTGCTGCTAATGTGAATTCTTCAACTCAAATATATTTTACTCCAAAAATTACACAATTGTACACATTGAATGTTTTTAATCATTTCACATTAAAATGGGGCCCTTCCATCATCATCCATTTTGTCCCCACTTTTTGATGCATATGTCAAGTCTGAGTCAGTGACATGATTTAAGGTTGACGTCTCTGCGGTACGTCGTTTGCATGATTTTTTTATTTTTTATTATTTTTTTTTTGTAGACCAATGTGATTGTCTTGATCAAAATCGGCTGATATTTAGCTTTTTTGGGAATCGACTCCGTCATAATTTGAGTGATCTATCACTGATGTCATTGATTGTATCCGTGCCTTAAAACATGAGAGAAAACATAACCCCATTCACTCCAGAGTCTTTTTAAGCTGCCATCGTGTATCTGTGATTCCGAAAGCGTATTTATTTTTTGCCTTGTAAAAAGTCACAAAACCACTTTATTTGCAACAAAAAGAACTAGCTTGTATATGCATAACACACTCAACTAGTATGTGTGCTATTTATTTGTTTTTAACCTCTCTCTAGTTTAAAATAATTCATCACTCAGCCTGTTACATGAACTTTCGGCGACGCACCTTCAGCCGATCACAGACTCAACCAGCAGCCAGACGTGTTGTTTGAACAAACACGGACATTGCTTTGTTGTTGACAAGACACGTTAAATATTTGCTGAACAAGGACACAAAATCTCGCAATGCAACTACATATAAAGTCAATACAATTTAGCTACATCGATCAGGGGTGTCAAACTCTTTATTTTTTTGTCATTGGCCACATCATAGCTATGGTTTCTTACGGAGGGCCATTACAACTATGAACCCCAATTCATGTAGAACCGTCTCATATTACGTGTAGGCTTCATGACAAATTAATGAATAACTAGTTTTGAAATCAGAGGCCAATAAAATATTATATATATATATATTATTACATTATTAAAAAATGTGGGATTGGGAGCAAAAATGCTTGCAATATGTCAACATTTTTAAAAGTGAAGACAATTTGCAATTTTGGTATTTCAGCAAGAAATATAAAGTGGATGCACATAATTTGATTTGGCGGGCCATATAAATGATGTGCCGGGCCAGATCTGGCCCCCAAGCATTGAGTTCGACACATGTTACATAGATAGTACAGCTACACCTGACCCAACTGGCTTTGAGATTGTGCTCCTTCGTCACATACACAGCGCAAACACGGCAAGTAAAAAGTGGACAAACAATGAAGGAGAAAAATAATTGTGGCAGTCTGTGGGCACCGGGACTCGTACAACATAACCAATTTCTAATATGGGCCAAAAAGAAGCACGCGTAGGCTACTTGGCATAGCTGCTAACTAAGTGCATGGACTTTTTTATAGCTGTTGAACCAAGATTAGCAATAGTTTGAGCAAAAGCCCCGGCCACCTGAATGAATGACACGATGAAAAAAATAATTGAAAAGTCTTTTGCTGTAGAAGTGACATAGAAGATAGCAACACACTATGCGCCATGTTTGAAGCATTCACGTTGTATTGATCCCAGGATGTACTTTCTTTTTTGTTGATCTATTAAACTGCATTGCTTCGTTTTTATAGTTTAGTTTTGATGGTTTTGGGTCTGTTTAATCAGTGCACTGGCATCGTGCTTAAGCATCCCCTCTGAACATGCGTGGGAGTGTGTACAGCAGTGCTGGTGAGAGTGCTTAGGCCTGCCTGGAGAGAATGTGGGTGTCTGTGATTGTGAGATGGGTTTTTTTTTCCCTTTTTTTTCTCATTTTGATGTTCAACATGGCAACGGTCTCCAAGCAGACAAGAAGTAATGGAGGAAGCACAATAGAAATATGTAACAAAGAAGCATGAGTACAATGGCTGACAAAACGATCTGAGCCTGGATTCAGTTGATTTAGTTTGCCTTAAACCTCCTGCGAGATTACCGTGTTTAGTTGTGTGCAGTGTTTGAAACTCACCAGGAAATTATCAATATTTGATCTGTTTAAGTTGACAGTTTCTTCTGACAGTTCATTATCACAACAATGAACCTTTTTCAGAAAAAAAAAATATATATATATGAATTCTTCTCCAAACTATTGGAACAGTGAGGCAACTTTATTTCTTTTTGCTGAAGACTGTAAAGATTTGGATTTCACATCAAACGAAGAAAAGAACACCAAGAAATCAGCAGTTTGGTTTTGTTTTTTTTTTAAACAAAGAAAAATGCATTAACTTGTACAGTGTCTCTTCATACGAAATTTTCAAGTTACGAAACGCCTCAACAGGAAATTATTGCCTCTTGTTACGAAAGAAATTTCAAGATACAAAAGGTAAAAATACAGTATGGTCTGTTTACTGAACGCATCATACTTATAGCTGCTCTGCCACTGGCTATTACCAAGCATCTTCCTGGCATCCCATTGGCTAAGAGGTACCTCTACCGCATGTGTCTATGCATAGACTCATATCTGTCTGTCTACACACAGATAGATATCTGTCTCTGCAGTGTCCTCATCATTCGCCCCTCGGGCCATGAGGTGTTCCGATAGCTTTACGTAAATTTGAATCCCCAGAAAAAAAGTATTCACCTACTGGCACCATGCTGATGTTTGCCTTGGACATTTTTGAAAGATTTTTAAAAGCCGACAAAAGCAAACGTCTTTGGATCAGTTCATTACAAAACGCCAAGCAAAAAAAAATTCTGAGAGAGAACGTAAACTAAAGAGGACAAAAAAATCATCATGCTGTGATTATTTCAGGCTGGCCCAGTCCGTCCGAGTCAACAGTGACAGCTAACCGGTGTCTAGAATCAAACTACTGTTATTACGTCACATGCAGGCACTGCAGAAGCAGACACTTAGCCAAATAAAGTAAAAACACAAAACAAAACAGTATTGTGTACCTTTTGATCCTACAGACATTATCCCAAATGGCTTTTATTTCACCACACTTTATGTGTCTGCACTTGCGTGGAACTTAGTAAGCCCAATTTCAACGCCAATCGACGGTCGCCGACGACGGACAAACTGGGCCCACGCACGTAGGCCGGCCTGAGCACAATGACTGAGAGACTCATGTGCCCACCACTGCATTTTCATCACCTTTTTCCACTTATTGCCATTGATCAGTGAGTTATTATGTCACCATGGCCGCTCCACTGTAAAATTTTTAATTTTAATCATTTGTTTTGTTTTGTTTTTTTACTCTTCACATGCAAGAAAGGTTCTGATTACTGAGGTAATATCTTAGTACTGTGGTTCCTCATAAAAAGTCAATCAGGCACTCGTTGAATGCAGAAAGACGTGTTGTTTCATGTTGATGTGCGAGAGAGAAGGTTTCCTTGTCGTCACTTTGTACATGCCTACTCAAACAAGGCGCGTGATTGGTTCCCGGCGGGACATTGACCAATGAGAGCATGAGTGGATTCATCCCATTGACTGCTTGCGCATCATCGCCAGTCTGTTGACTGTCTCGCATACTGTATCTTAGTTTTGTGTTCGCGATAACTTTTTTTGATTCGTTAAGCTGCGCTCCAACCCCTTGCCCCTGCCGAAGCAATTCATCCCGGCCGTGTGGGAGCGTGTAAGCCCGCTTGTCAACAGGGACACATTGCTTCAATGGCGGCGGCGGGGATTTAGTTCGCAGCCTTGACCGGGTAGCCTTATTTCGAAGGTTTCCCGGTCCGTTCAGCTGTTTTTTTGAGACACGTCACAAGGAAGCTATGACACTGACAGCCCAGGTGAAGGCTGAAGAGATAGCCGAAATTGTAAGGTCGGGAAGAGAGTTTTTCCTTCATGAAAAAAAGACCATTGTCTGATTAAAAAAAAAAAAACGTAAACCTATTTCAACTAATAAGAAGACAAGATGTATGTCATAGCGCTGCCCATGACCATGTTTTTCTCCAATATAAAGAACCTCAGCTACACCATCCAGCTACAGCAAATCCTACATTGCGGTTTTTCACTTTTCGCTGGGGGGTGTCTGGTACCCATTAACCGCGAAAATTGAGGGTCTCACAATAATTTCGACCCATTGAAAGTCTCAGAATTTTGGCCTGGATGAGCAGTTGGTGGATATTTTTAACTGAAATTTGTCAGCCAGTGGGAGAGAAGGTGGTCCCTGAGTAGAAGACGAAAGGGTCAAGGAGAATGTCACGAAGAAATCAAGTTATACCGTTTTACGATAATTTGAGTTTGATTTTTGAGCCGGTTATCTTTGGCAATATCCCACAAAAACATCATTTTCTCTGGAACCCATTGTCTGATTTTCAAAATTCTTGGTGTGCTGTATTCGGGTTGAAGAGGCCATTCCAACCAATCTCAGTATTTTGATGGACTGTCATTTCTGGGAAATCTTGTCATGCTTTCTCTTAAGTGTGAATGCTTGTTCGGTGGAATCAATTATATGTCAGAGTGATCTTAACTTGTGACCAGGTTGTAACCCTTGTCTTGCCCAAAGGCAGTTGGGTACCTCAAGGGGATGAAAAATAAAGGGATAATTGTTTGAAAAAAATACAGTACAGTGGACTCCGGCTTACTTGCAGGTGAGCACCCGCGGATTGACCTTTTCACATTTTTTTTCCCCATTAATTTTTTCCAATTGTGTTTTGAAACTGTATTTTTGGGGGGGAACCCTGTTTTTTCATGTAAAAGGCTTATAGGTGAAAAATTTAAGTATTAAAAAAAAAAAAATATATATATATATATATATATACACACACACACACACACACACACACACACACACACATTTTGGACATCTCAGTCCAGAAATGCGCAATACTGGGAACAGCAAGGATACTGCGCAGAACCCTCAAGCTTCCTGGCCTCTGGTAGAGGACCCGAGCTGAATGAGGGATGGACACCACCCGAGGGGGTGAGACGAGGATTTTTTTTTTCATATATATGTATATATGTGTGTGTGTGTATGTATATATATATATATATATATATATATATATATATACACACACACACACACATACTTTAAGTAATATACAATAATATCATGCTAAGTACAAATAATCTTGTATATACAGTATAATTGTATATTTTCTTTTATTTACTTTTTCTATTGCAATTGATATTTGCCCAGTCCCTGTCACCCTCAAATTGCGGGGGTCCACTCTATATGAATATCCGCTCCAAAGAATCGGGATATCGTATTTTGACATTTTTATCACATGCATGATTACGTCCTGCGGATGTCCAATTTTATTGCACAAATGAAATCAATGTCTTGCTGTGTTTCGCAGTCTCTCCGGAGGTGCTTGGATTTCTGACAGCCATCGGGCTCTTCATTATCCTCATGACTCTTCTCTTCTGGTACTTCAACAACAAGTTGACACTCGAGAATGCAGGGAGCCTTCAGTGCCTTGATGACTTCAAGAAAAACACAGAATTGCAAGGTGAACGACACCTTCTATTGTGTATATTGTATTGCTGAGAACTTCTTCTTCTTCTTCTTCTTCTTCTCCTTTCGGCACGTCCCTATTCAGGGGTCGCCACAGCGAGTCAGTAATTTCCATCCGCCCCTGTAAACCGTCCTACCAACTCGCATGATCGTCTTGGCAAAAGTTTTACGCCGGAATGCCATTCCTGACGCAACCCTCCCCGTTTCTCCGGGCTTGGGACCGGCACTGGGGAACAGTGCACACCCAGGGGAGGGCACTGCTCCCCAGCGGCTGGGATTGTATTGCTGAGAACACTTTTCTGTAATTACTTTCAAATCACACAGCTCCCACTCAGCTTGTACAGCATATCTTCCGTGTGTAGTACTTAATTTGTAGCATTTATAAATACCATAATTTTGAATTATAGAGACCACCTAATTTAAAACCGCATCAGGTACGTTTACCCATTAAAAGAAATAGATATATTTTTACATATATTAGCCACTTCACTTCATTAGCCGTGAGTATCCACATTATAACACTTGCTATTTACTGTAGAAAGTAAGATCCCATGTCACATGAGATTAATTAAACAAAAAAATTGTCATTACCTTAAAAGATTGTTCACAGGCTTTCTTCCCAAACATTGCTGAACAGCTAGCAGTTGCCTCCCAGAAAAGTCGTTGATCGCTATCTTTGTCTTCCTCCGCATGAAGCCCATCAAAGTCCTCTTTCGTGTCAGAATGGAACGGTCCTAAAATTCCTTTGTTACACGTGAATCAGGTGTGTCAAACTCATTTTTGCCACATTGTAGTTATGGTTTCCCTTGGAGGGCCGTTATGATTGAATTTTGTGAAACCACATCAATGTTTAACCACCTCCACATATTACACAGCGAACAACAAATAGATGGATAACTAGTTTTGACATCAGAAGTCAAGAATAATGGATTGTTCAAATATTGTAATTATGACATTATATATGACAATTTGAAATTTTGGTTCAGACTTTAGGAACCATCATGGAAGTTGACATGCTTGAATTGCTTTCGTGGGCCACATAAAATGATGTGACGGGCCAGATCTGGCCCTTGCGCCTTGACTTTGACACTTATGACATACAGGTAGATGTATTGTATATCTTTGTCTTGTCCTCAGGCAGCCCAGTGATCGAGTGGTTAGCGTGTCGACCTCACAGTGCAGAGGTGCAGGGTTCGATCCCGGCTCTGGCCTTCCTGTGTGGAGTTTGCATGTTCTCCCCGTGCCTGCGTGGATTTTCTCCGGGTTCTCCAGTTTCCTCCCACATTCCCAAAACATGCATGGCAGGCTGATTGAACATTCCAGATTGTCTTTAGGTGTGAGTGTTTAGCGCGCATGGTTGTTTGTCTCTGTGTGGTCTCTGTGTGCCTTACGGTTGGCTGGCAACCAGTTCAGGGTGTCCCCCGCCTACTGGCCGAAGACAGCTGGGATAGGCTCCAGCTCACCGGCGACCCTTGTGAGGATAAGCACATCGGATAATGGATTGATGGATGGATGGATCTGACGCTGTGCAAGATAAATTCCACCCATGATTCATTAAATTTCCTGGTGTTAACATGAGGTAAAATTTTATAAATCTCCGTCTCGCTCCAAGTTGTAATCCCAAGTGATCCAGCTGACCCATCAAGGGCTTGACATCATCCTTCTCACTGTCATACAGTGCATCTGGCGCAGTGTCTGCAACATCAAACAGTTTCAATAATGCTGGCCTCATCCCTTCAGTCTTCAATGGCATGAATGAAGAGAAGTTAAGGCACATTTTAGAGATGTAGACTCAGGTAGATGATCATTCGATGCACTGATCTTCATACAAATATGATGATTATAATATGGTCTTTGATATTAATTTCTCAAATCAAGGTCTGAAATTTGTGAACATTTTCTTTCATAAAATACATGAATGTACGCTTGAAAGTTCACCGTGTGTGTGTGTGTGTGTGTGTGTGTGTGTGTGTGTGTGTTTTAAGAAAAGTAAACACTGAATTTTGATCTATTTCTTTCAGTCTTGGGTTAAGCGTCTATATTCCGCTGGAGTCATTTTAGAGCTCTGCTGCCTCTTGCTGGAAAAAACATGAAACAACATTTACATTTTACAGTACTAGTTTTCACAATGCGGTGTGCATGCGAAGTTTTGATTGAGTATTTATATTGCATAAATATCCACCAGTCAAATACTGTACATTGTTACATCCAGAATTAAGACTTCTTCATATGTCCTTCAATGAGTTATTTTTTATTCTCTTCAATTCTATGATTCTGTTTTTCATTTCTTTTTGTTTATTGTTTAAAGGAGGAGGAAGAAGTACAAACTTTTCCGCTTGTATCCCTTTAACCTCAATTCCATCATCAATAAATCAGAAGTTCTTTATATTTATGATCTATTATTTTCATGTATTGTTACCATATTTTACAATATAATATTGCGTCAAGTTTTACATTATTAAAGGCAGTACAATTCCATATCCACAAACCAAATTAAAAATAGATTGTTATGCTATTAAATTTAGCTATAATATCGCCGCTGTCCTGTGAAATCACATTTTGTTTCGTGTTATGTTGTTATGTTGTGGGGTGTCCGCATTTCGTACATCCACTCAACGTAAAGATTTTAAAAATAACAACTGGACATACATGTTTTTCACAGGACAGCTATGGTGTCGTCAATATATTATTATTAAGATTTATATTAGAATTCCTACACTAGTTAATAAAAAACAAGATACTTTGTGCAGTCAGCTTCTATAGTACATAATGACAGCAATAATAATAATAATAAAATAGCCATTATTTGTCCAACTCATTGTCAAGCTTTTCCTATTCACTGTACTTCTCAAAGGTATTGAAGTGGTGTAAGTTTGGACATCATTGTAGGTCAATATTCAGTCTGTTCAAAATTTTCACTCCACAAACAAAAATACAGAAGCTTTTCAAACATAAAGTTGAGTTGACTCATCTTTGAGTACCTTGTCTTCCAGTTATATATTACCCTTAAACTATAGCCATCCCGCAACCATTAATTTTCTTCCTCTTATCTGGGTCCGGCTCATGGGGGGAGCAGCTTCAGCAGGGAAACTTAGACTTCCCTCTCCCCAACCACTTTGTCCAGCTATTCCGGGGGAATCCCAAGGCGTTTTCAGGCCAGCTGGGAGACATAGTCTCTCCAGCGTGTCCTGGGTCATACCCAGTGGGACGTGGCCGGAACACCTCACCAGGGAGTTATCCGTGAGGAATCCTAACCAGATGCCCGAGCCACCTCATCTGGCTTCTCTCATTGTGGAGGAAAAGCAGCTCAACGATGAGTCCCTCCTGGATGATAAAGCTTCTCCCCCTATCGCTAAGGCAGAGCCCGGGCACCCTTGCGGAGTGAAGGATCAGGAGCTCCCAAATCGGTTGTATTTTTTTTGACATTGGCAGACAACATAATCATTGGGCTCCCTATTAATTGTCTATTACTTCATACACAGTGGTAGTTTTTTTTTTTTTTTCGGGCATTTCCAGGGCTTGAATTAGCTATGGTTGTGCATTGTGTGCAGTGTGTGCAGAGACAGGCCACCTTATGTCCGCTGTTGCACTATGATGTCCACGATGTCACCAATCTATTGAGATCCATGAAAAAAACTACGTTAAGGATTCAAATTCTTCACAAAGAATAAGGCGCCGTTTGTATTGACACTCTCCGAAAGATATTCATTGAACATGTTTGTTGTTGTTGTGTTTCCTTGCGTACAACTGCATGAGAGTATATCAGACTGAATTACAGGCTACCAAAACAAAATGAAGATCCCAACAGCCATGTCAAATAATAATTAGGGGGACTCACACTTGTATTTGTTTGCATAACAAGTTATGTGTTTCTCCTATTTCTTCTCACAACAGATAAGGTTTACGATGATGGTGACCAAAACGCAGCATCATCATCAGACAGTGAGGACGAATTGTTGGGTCAGTATCAAGAAGCGGTCAGTCGTGCCCAAGGTCTCAGAGGTGGAGCCAAGGTGTCTGCTAATGTCAAACATGCGGGACGGTTCAGGTGGGAGAACCGACAGAAGTACAGTCCCCTGATGGCAAATTATGACGGCTACAGCAGTGACGCCTCAGCCGATGTAGGTAAGTTTATTTTAAATCCAATCTGGATGATGAGGTCACTTTGGCCGATACATCATTGAAACACTTCATTTATACCGATATATTTCTTTCGTTCCAAATTTACCACATTAAACTTTTTAAACAAAGTTAAACCACAATGTACTCCCATATATACACACACACACTTGATTTCGAGAGGTGATCAAAGTGGAGCTCCCGTTCAGCACACTCTCCACGGGAGGGTTATGAAACAGTCAACTGTATGCATTATTCTCCTTTCTTTTCTCTTTCTTTAGTTTTTCTTTTTTTTTTATTTTCATATTCACATTTCAAATTCAGCATGGTCTTTTTCATGGGAGAAACGGTTCTAGCCTATTTAGATCGGTGTGTTGTTTTCCTTCATCTGTTCAGGAAACTTGACTCAACCTTTTGCGCTCACAATCACACCCCAGGGCAATTAGAGAGTCTTCAATCAATGTGCCATGCATGTTTTTGGAACGTAGGAAGACACCAGAGTACCCGGAGAAAACCTACGCAGGCACAAGGAGAACATGCAAACTCCACACAGGAAGGCCCAGGCCCGATTCAAGGCCACGACCTCTTGAACATTGTAGTTACCGGTATATTGCTTGCTACATCAGAAGGGTCAGATGACAACTTTCAGAGAGTGTTCATCCTTAATCAGCACTCGGTGAAAGATTGTTGTTTGTTCTCGATTAAAAGATTAAGATAACTTTCTTATTGGTACAGTTGACATCAAAACAAAACCAATATTTTCCCATCGTAGACAAAACTGACGTCCTGATATAATCATTTCGTCAACTGACAAAATGAATGTTAATTTATCAAAGAAACATTCATTTCTCACAGGTTGAATGGACATCATTTTATTTGATTATTTTCACTGAATGACACATTTCTCTCTGTAAAAAGGAGAATACATGGTTTAGGCCACATGTTGGATATACGGTCACGGATTTTGGTTCAGTTCAGTTTTCTTCTCTCTCCATAGTACAGAATTATTTCAAATAATAAACTCACGAAACAGGACAAAAATGACGGTACCTTGAACATCATGTTTTTGTTGTTTAACATTTTGAGGCAAGTCACTGCAATCAAGGTATTTTTGTGACTTTTAATAAGACGTCTGCCTCTCTCAGCAGTTATTTTTGGTGCACTCTTCATGAACAAACTGCTCCGGTTGTCAACGTTTGAAAGGTGCTTTCTCCAGCATGTTTCAGCTCCTTCTTCCACAGATGTTCTTCAGGATTTTGATATAAATTAATAAATATAAATAAAAATTGAATTTTGGCTGAACAAGGCCTTACAGACTTTACATTCAATAAGTTTGCTAATTTTCTTTCTAATATCCTCACACAACTCTCTCCTTGCCTTCCTCTTATTCATGTTTAGTGTGGGACACGCCATGTCACCAAACAGAAAATTGACTACTTGTCAGCCTTTAAATAGGCAGATTTATTGATTACTCATTTGAAGGTACCTGTGATGCTAATTATAGCATAAACCTTTGTTGAACATGTCCCTCTGGTCAAATTATTTTCAATCATTTCCACAATTCATAATTTTTGTCGGGTTGCACGGTGTTCAACTAGTTAGCACGCCGGCTTCACAGTGTGGAGTTGCTGGATTCGAATCCGGCTCCGGCCTTCCTGGGTAGAGTTTGCATGTTTTCCCCATGACTGCGTAGGTTTTCTCCGGGTACTCCAGTTTCCTCCCATACTCCAGAAACAGACATGGAAGGTCAATGGAACACTCAAAATTATCCCGAGGTGTGATTGTGAGCGTGAATGGTTGTTCATCTATTTGTGCCCTGCAATTGGCTGGCAACCAGTTTAGGGTGTACCCCGCCTGCTGCCTGAAGACAGCTGGGATATGCTCCAGCATGCCAGCGACCCTTGTGAGGGTGAGCGAATTAGAAAATGGATGGATGGATGAATGGGTATTTTTTGTCTGGGCCTGCTTCTGTCATGGTTCTGCTGTGTTTGTGTTTGTCTCCGGCAGGTGGCATTGGAGGGTTTCCCCTCCAGTTTCACCCCTGTTTACCATCTGCTCATCAGCTCTCTTCGGTTTAAAAGCACTGCCAAGCCTACACTTGTTATCGGATAATTTTCACCTTGCTCACGACTCTCGTCCAAGTGCTTATTATGTAGACATTCCACGTTCTCGCTACTCGTTTATAGTCTTGCTTAGTATTTCCTTGTTTTTCCAATATTGTATCAATTTTGTTGATAGTGTTCTCCCAGGGGTTTTTGCTTTTCTCGTAATTGGCTTGTCTTTGTCCTTTTATGACAAGTGATGTTACGTTATTATTTCCCTTGCCTTTTCCAAGCACTTTTGGCTAGTCTCGTTGTTGTTATTTCTGGTTCTTTGTTACCAGTTTTTTATGTTGTACCTTGTCGCTCTTGCGCCATTGTTTTATAATTTAAAAAAAACAAAACATTTTGGGATATGATCTTATTCTGATCTGCATTTAGGGGATGCAATTCTGTTCCGGATTGGTCTGAAACCTCAAGAGGTTCATGAGTTTGCTTTTTAAAACATTTCTCTTGAATCACAATTCAAAAGCAATGTCTGATTTTTCTTGGTTAATTTTCATAAATGTTACTATTTAATCTCCAATTTTGTTTTTCTGTGACCGCTGTGGCTTTATCTTTCATTAACAGGGGTACCAACAATTTTGTCCATGTGTGTGTATATATTTGGAATACGGTAAAAATATATATATTCTGGATTCTGGAACGATAATTCGTTTTGAAATAATTTGGCTGTAAAAAGGCTATACGCTTTCGATGTCACTGTTTAGTCATAACCCCTCAAAAATGAAGCTTCCTGCTTTCTAAATCACCACGTCATGTCTGAACTATCTTCTTGTTATATAAGGAAGACAGTTTTCAGACTGAGTGTCTAGGGCAATCTATTTAAAGCATTGTTAAAATATGCTGTTGAATGATGAATACTTTATGTCATGCCTTGGTTCCATCAGTAACAAAGGATCACAAATTATAAATCAAACTGAGAAAACTGCAGTGTGCCTAATGCTTGCAGAGCAAAATGTGTTTTTGGTACAAGATGGTGAAATACGGATGACTAATGTGTATTTTATTGTAATATTTTCGAGACAATTTGAATGGTAATGAGGCTTCAACACGTTTTAGTGATTTCACACTCCCTTAAAATATCACAGATACGTACTGTACATGACAATACAAGCACACTTTTTCTCCACGAAGTACTTTCACTTTTCTTAGAGATGCATGCCGTCTGATCTCCAATTTCCACAGTCATTAACCGTGATTCCTTGTGTTGTCAGCAGAGATTCTAATCTGTGATTCTTTCCTAAAGAACAAGTAATTACTGATTAGTTGTCCATTAAAAGGGATGCGATGCTTCTGTCAAACTTGAATTGGTTACTCATAAAATCTTGAGCATGTGGTACAAACGGAGCGGGATTCGCTGAGATCCTTGCTCTACCAATTACCAATTGCTCTTCTATTGCTGATGTGTTGTGAAAGATTTGCTAAGATTTTTGTGATTTACTAAAATGGATGGATGGATGGATGATTATTTCAAACTGCCTCTGTCGGGAATCCACAATGGTCTGGGGCAAAAAAGTTTGTTCATTGTTTTCAAAGCAGAGCAAATGTTTGATATTGATTCAACACTGTCACGTTTCGGACAAGCCGAATTAAGTTGGATCCCAAAAGTGTAGACGTCAACAAGGTCTCCATAGCATAAATGTTTTAATACAAAAATCGCACTGACAAAGAGTAACAAAAATCACTGGTCCAAACGGACCAGGTATTACAATAAGTATTAACAAAAAGCGCTTGCCCAAAAGGCAAGGGGAGAAACCAAGAACCGAGAATGCAAACGAAAAACAATGTGACCTAAGCACACGCAAGCAAAAAGCCAAATCACAAAATAAAAACCATACTTACTAGATCAATAGTACCGAGAGTATCAAAAGCAAAAAACGACAATGTCTATAGCAAAAGGGTCTATGAGCATGGAAACAGCAAGGCATAAACAATACTCCGACAACAGGTGAACCGCAGAAAAGTCCTTAAATACAGAGACCCATAATGAATGGATTGGCAGCAGGTGTGTACCCAGAAGTCCCTTCATGCCACCTGCTGGCCAGACCAAAAACAGAACCGTGACAAACACAAAGATAATCAGTTTCACGGAGGACGACTGAAATAAGACAATATTTACTGTTGATAAGCTGAAATTCCGAGCATTTCAACAATTAAAAAAAAAAATCGGAACAATTTGTCAATTATTAAAAATAATTATTGATTAAGGCGGCCCGGGGGTCGAGTGGTTAGCGTGTCGATCTCACAGTGCAGAGGTGCAGGGTTCGATTCCGGACGCCAGCCATTCTGTTTGGATTTTACATGTTCTCCCCGTGGCTGCGTGGGTTTCTCTCCGGGTACTACGGTTTCCTCCTGCATTCCAAAAACATACATGGTAGGCTAATTGTCCCTAGGTGTTAGTGTGAGCGCGGTTGGTTGTTCGTGTCTGTGTGCCAGCTGTCTTCGGGCAGTAGGCGGGGGACATCCTGAACCAGTTGCCAGCCAATCGCAGGGCACACAGAGACGAACAACCACCCGTGCTTACACTCACACTGAGGGACCGTTTTGAGTGTTCAATCAGCATGCCGTGCATGTTTTTGGAATGTGGGAGGAAACCGGAGTACCCGGAGAAAACCCACGCAGGCACGGGGAGAACATGCAAACTCCACACAGGGAGGCTGGAGCTGGAATCGAACCCGGTACCTCTGCACTGTGAGGTCGACACACTAACCACTCGCCCACCGGGCCGCCTTATTCATACATTTTATCGAATTTAATGAAAGACCCTGTGTAGTGGCAACAATCATCTTTTCAATTTGACACAACCACGGGGAAGGGTATTGTCAAAAAGTCTCCCAAATGAATCAACAACAAATATATCAAATCAGGCAACAAAATCATGATCTCCTGGTGCTTTGGGCAGCACTCATGACGGTCCGGCCGTGCACGGCCCAATAAGGCAACGTGGGTCCTTCTTCTCATGTGCTACCGGTGAGTGTCAATCCAGAGTGATCAGACTTACTGCCTTGATCATGAGGAAGGAAGAGACTCAGTCCTGGCAGACCCAAACGAAACTGCTGGCTCCTTCCCCTGTCAGAAGGGGTATGAACTTGAAACGAAAAATTAGCAGCTATTTGTGCTTTAGCTTTCCAGCCAAGATTCACAAGCAGGCAAAACAAGCCCATCCTAAGAGGCTGAATCTCTGTGAAGGAAGGAGGGCTGAGAAGAGAAGTGGAATTGTCACCATTCCAATTAGCAGGGTGCAGGAGAAAGTGACGCCTTGACACAGCAGCTTCCATCAACTCAACCGCCCCCGGCTCAGTAGGGGGAAGAAAACGTTCAAAATGGGTTTTGCTTCTTTTATCAAGCGCTCCATGACACTTAGTTAAAACTCCTTTACCTCCATCGTGCCGCTGATATGTGCCACTTTGAGGTGAAGTCTCGCTGTCTGACATGAGATTGAAAGTTCCAAGAATTTTCGAGAAAGCTTAAAATGAAAAGTTGGAGTTGGCTGTCTTTTTCGAAAAGTTATGAAAGAGAAAAGGATGTTTTATTTATCTATTTATTTATTTGGGGTGGAGGTGTTTTCAGAACCATGTTTTATTTTCTCTCTTTTCAGCAAGTGATGCTATTGGAGTATTCGTGTCAAGTTATGCAAGTCCAATTTGGACAATGGAAAAAAGCTTCAGAATGTAGCTGGCAGAGCTTTTCGAGATTTTTCATAAGTGTGACACAGACGCTCAGTGTGTCGTTTGTCATTGCCTTCTTTTTTAATTAAATAATAAGAAAATAGAGGCATGAAATCTGTGGCAGGTTTCCACATGGACAAAAGTGTTGGACCATCCATCCATCTATTTTCTGATCCGCTTATCCTCTCAACGGTCACGGGGGGTGCTGGAGCCTATCCCAGCTGTCTTCGGGCAGTAGGCGGGGGACACACTGAACCGGTTGCCAGCCAATCGCAGGGCACGCAGAGACGAACAACCATCCGCGCTCACACTCACACCTAGGGACAATTTAAAGTGTTTAATCAGCCTGCCATGCATGTTTTTGGAATGTGGGAGGAAACCGGAGTCCCCGGAGAAAACCCACGCAGGCACAGGGAGAACATGCAAACTCCACACAGGAAGGAATCAAACCCGGCCGGTACCTCTCTACTGTGAGGTCAATGTGCTAACCACTCGACCACCGGGCCGCCATTGTTTGTACCCCTCAGGCTTCGCCTTTCCTGTGTGGAGTTTGCATGTTCTCTTCGTGCCTAAGTGGGTTTTCTCTGGGTAACTCCGGTCTCCTCCCACATTTCCAAAACATGCATGGTGGGGTTAATTGAAGACTCCTCCGTAGGTTTGTAACGGTTGTTTGTCAATCCTCTTATGTGTCCAGTGATTGGCTGGCTACCGGTTCAAACTGTACCCTCACATCTCACCCTAAGTCAGCTTGGACAGGCTCCAGCACATGTGACCCTAATGAGCTTCAGCGGTATAGAGAATGATTTGATGCCTCATAATGTGTTCAATGGGTTGATTTCTACAATCATTCAGAAGGTGAAATGGCTACCGCTCACATATTTATCCATGAAATACATCTGACATCCACCACAGAAGCCAATCAAATTCACCCAAATCAACATTTGACCAGCTGGGCCAGTGTTTAGATGTGGTCTGAGCAGTCGTAACTTGAGACCCACTTCCTACCACCAGATTGTCACCCAACTTGGCGCAGACCACAAGTTTTGCGCTTGTATGAAAATCAGAATGTGCTGCATCTGCATCAGTTGCGCTTTCTACGAATATAGAGACCACAGTGTATGCCGTCAAACAACCATTCATAGCCAGTTTACAGAGTTCAACTTACCAAAGAAGTGTGTTTTTTTGAATGTGTGAGGAACACCCATGCAAACACTATGGGCCATATTCTCCCATTCATGCTTAAGTCATTTTTACATTCCCCCATCTTGCTCACGGTATGTTGAGACTTCTGACGTCCCGAACGTGCGCCCAACTCAAGAGGCGTGACTGATATACACTTGGAAAATATGTCGCACATCAGTTAGAACAGGGGTCTCAAACTCAATTTACCCGGGGGCCGCTGGAGCTCAGGTCTAGGTGAGGCTGGGCCGCATCGGGTTATCACCTCAAAACATGCATTTATTAAAAACTGAAAAAAATGTCTTTAATGCTTTTGCTTCTCCAGCACTAGCGAAGGCAGCAGCGGCAGGTTGTTTAACATCCGTAGTTTACACCTGTATTCAAGATGGTGTTGGGCACCATGGGCAGGTTCGCGTTGCCGCTATAGTCTGGGTGCTCCGAAGCTGTCGGCCTTCGAATGAGACAGACCTCACTCACTATTTAGCACGGAGGTAGTGCGAACACATACAGCATACATATCAAACTCGCGCCGGCCGCATTAGCATTAAGGCGGGGGCCTCAAACTAGCATCCTGCATTTATTCCGCGAGCCGCGAGTTTGAGAACCCTGAGTTTGAGAATGTGCCCCTTGGTGAGCATGCAGATTTTTTTTTCCAATTGTGCTATCACAAGTGAATTACTCTGCCTTAAATACAGCATACATTGCCCCCCTCAAAAAACAAAAAATGACAATCCGTTAGGGCAGGGGTCCCCAACCTTTTTTGCCCCACGGACCGGTTAAAGTCAGACAATATTTTCAGGGACCGGCATTTAAGGTGTGGCGAATTAATACAACAAAATAATATGGTATGAGCTGCATGAAAACTGTGGTGTTTTCGAAATATAATAATAAACACAAG